GTAGCCCCAAGTCTCCATTCGTGCATAGGGGTGGTTGCGTCTCGATAGCTATAAGGGTGCGGGAGATATGAGGCTGAAAGTGGTTGAAAGTGGCTTTCTATTTCGAATGTTTTGTTTGAATTAAATTCAAACATAAAATTTGAATATTGGTTTATTATAGAATGATTGTAAACGTTCCAGAAACGTTGAAAATAGTTCGTTTGACTAAACGTAAAAATACTCTAATTAGTCTGGAAACGGGGGCCTAATTCTTGCATTCTGTGAAAACGGGTAAGATTAGCTATAAAGTAATTATCTTAATCTTCACTGTTGTTACTTTTTGCCCAGCGAAGCGGGTCTTTGCAGCTAGATTCTAGATTACTTAGAAAAACAGTCTTTTATATATATATAAAAAAAAAAAAACTATATTACATACAAATAAAAACCCAGCGAAGCAGGTCCTTGCAGCTAGTATTATGATAAAAAAGAGGATTGAATTTTAGATTAAAAAACATGACAGAATAATTAAGCAGTTTAATTTATTAAAAAGCAGATATTATCCGGAGAATATGATAAATTTTGTATTGATTATAGTAGCCACATGAGTATGGCAACTATAATGCATATGGCAGTTTTTGTACTTAGAAAACAGTTTAATAAAAATAATAATAGTAACAGAATAATAACATATTCATTTTAAAATTAGAATTTGCTAGAAATAGAAGTGAGGAAAGAAGCAGCTATTTTTTCATAGATGAAAACAAAACAAACTTTTATCATAATAGAAATAATGGTAATCACATGTTATAGTCACAAGAAATCATTACTATATTTGAAAAGCAGATAGAATAATGTTAATAAAGAATTAATGGTTACATAAAAATTGAAGAATAGAAATTGGATAGTAATGTTATATGAAAAAAGCAAATAAATACTTTCTGTTGTTTTAAACTGTGAAAACTTTTATTGAGAACAAGATAAATACCAATTTGACTTACACACTTTAATACAGGGGTGGCCAACCTTTTCAAAAGGCGGGCCAAATGTCAGAAATAATATTTCCTGCCGGGCCACGCACCTAATTTTTTTTCTTTAATTAAAGTAAACAAGCAAGCGTGCTACAGCTTCAACCACATCGTCACTTCCCAGTAGGTGAGATCGTGGTCAAACACTTGCCTGGTTTAATGTAAAAAAAAACGCAAAAAAATAAGTATATTTATGTTTTTGAAGAAAATAAAACATAACCGAGAATCAAACATATTTATTAGACAATTTAAAAATATTTAAAAGTGAGACATCTGACTTAGTTTTACAGAACTAAGTGCATCAAATTTGATTTCAACTGATGATGTCACTACACGCAAACAGTTTTCCAAATGAACATCAGTAATTCAATTTCACTTGTGATTTGATGTACAGTATTTCATGCGACTAAAAAGTTGTTCACACGCATAAGTGTTTCTACATAGCGAAACCATCCACAGAGCATGTTTGTAAAACGCAG